GAGTCTATTGAAGACCAAACCTTCTGCATGAGCGGCTTTCAGTCTCTCGACATCACCACTCGTGCTGGCCCGCTCTGGATTTTAGGAGATGTCTTTATGTCTGCGTTTTACTGCATTTTTGACCGTGGGAATGACAGAGTGGGATTTGCAAAAGCTGTTCATAGGAAGGATTACTACTGAGTTGTAATAGCATTATTCTGCCATAAACCGAATGTTAATGTAATGATCTTCAACATGTGTGCAAAAAAAGGCTTTAACTGGACCTAAATGCAGTTGTGTGTTTCCCCCCCCCTCCCCCCCCCCCCCGTCTTTAAGGGCTTTGGGGTGATCCTTGTCTCAAATTATACAGTTTGGTTCAATCTCTATATTCTTACATCTGAGAAACAATTTTCCCCCAATATCTCATGGACAGCACATCTCTCAGGATGAAGCGAAAACAGCTCTGCACTCAGATTTGCAAAAGAGCAGGAAGGATAAAGATGCTGAACAGTGCCAAGCTGACAAGATAGCAGTTACAAATCGGGGAAACTAATCCCAGTCTGGTCTGGGTATCCTTTTTTCTTCTTATGTGCTAGTTTCCATGTCATTTCCTACTGTTTTCCTTTTCCTCATAATTTTCGATGGTTGGGGTTTTGTCCAACTTTCCTTCCTTAGTGCCATGCAAATTCTCTTTATATGGGCTTGCTCCAACCAGTTTATATAAAGGGGAATTTGATGCCTGTGTGACCACTAATTTCCGTTACTGTTCCTTGCACACAGTTTCCTGCTCCTTACACCATCTCTCAAACCTATGTTTTCCCTTGAGTTCATTCTTGCTTGACACTTTTCTATTCCTCTTTTGGGTCTCAGCATTTAATGTCTGTATCTTAGGTCAGATGCTGCTTTTAGCCTCTGACACCTCTGTCCCTTGGCAATGCGGGCAGCTGGGAGCAGTGTCTAGGCACGCTACAAAACCCTTGCAAAGGGAGCTGCACAGTGATACCTCAGTGTCCCTCCACCTCAAATGAGTTACGAGACCAACACACCAGCACTCAACCTTGCTCAGCCA